TTTGACAATTATTTACCGTTGGCGCTTAACTGTTAATTTGCCATCCGCCGAACCAGTCCACGTCCGAAGACCAGTTTCCCAGCGGATCCCCAGCAGCCACGAGGAGGCAGCAGCAGCATCCAGCATGCCCCATCGTGGAGCGACCGACAATTGGAAACATGCCACGCATTTTTTATGGCTTTCAATTTGACAAAAAGCCGGCCAGCAGCAGAAGCAGCAGAAATTATTTTCCCTCTTTTCGAAGACACGAGGCACGAACCACGAAGCACGAACCACGAGGCATGGGGAAAATGTAATTAAATGGCTTTTCCAGCCATCTCTTTCTGCTGCAAAACAGGATCTGGGTGATCGAAAGATGACAGATGACGACGGATGGAAATCAGAATGGAATGGAAAGCCAAACCCATCAAAATGATGAGAGGAGTTGAATGAACCGAACAGAGCCCGTGCCATGCGATCGTTAGGCTGTGGCATCCACTAAACCAGAAATCAAATCAAATCCCATCTGTAGTCTATTTCCCCCTTCTTGAGATGATAATCTATGATGACTGGCAGGCAGCCCACAAATCGTTTCCTCTGTGGCCAACAAACTTGTCAAAAAGTTGGCCAAGAGATTTTTTGCTGGCTAATTTACTCCGCAAACTGTCCCAAGAAACTGGCCAAACTCGTTGGCCCAGCCCAAAAAGCAAACAAAAAACAAGCTACAAGAAACAGCAGCAGCAGCAGCAGCAGCAGAATCCACAATCCACAAAAATCCAGATGAAACGTAATCTGAATTCCCCAGAGAGATTCTTCTCCCTCTGCTTTCTCTCACTCATTCTTTGCCCCCCTCTCTCTCTCTCTCTCTCTCCCTCTTTGCTGACCTTGCACTTGGCTTGGTTTGGGCCAACGTATAGAAACAAGGTCAGCTTCTGCCGCTGACCGCTGGCCGCCTGGCCAAAAGCAAAGCTGGAACCGCCAACTAATTTGAGGGTCAAACGGGTTTCGAGTGAAAGAAACCCCCCAGAGTACCCAAAAAGAGTACCAATCGAAGCGAATGAAACTCCAAATGAGCCGCGGGGAAATCATTTGTTCATTTGCATATGCATGCAGTTTCCACCTGCGGCCACGGCACGGACCCCACTCTTTCTCCCACTTTCCCGGCCCCAACAGTCAATTTATTTTGCCTCTTTTCCAGAGAGTCAGAGAGTCAGTGTCAGGGCCAATAGCATTTCCATGGCTGGCCATTTTTCAACATGACTGGACGGAACCGGACCGGATTGGATTCGATCGGACGCGATGGGGACCCTCCACCGCCAGACTAGAGCCTTCTTCTTCACGATTTTTCACGATTTCTTTTATTTTTTTGTGTATTTTCCGCTGATTTTCGACTTTCGGGCTTTTGTTTGAGTTCCGTTTCGCTGTTTTTCCTACCCCTCTCCCGCCACCCCCTCTTCTTCTGCATCGGGAAATGCATTTTGGGCGCTTTTTGTTGGAAGACTGCTGGCCCTGTTTGGCCGCTGGCCCATCAACTTTTGGGCACCAAATTGAATAAGAAACTAATTTCCAACAAACTGAACGAAACATTTTTAAAGGAGGCACACACACACACACACACACACACACTACATATCCTACTCACACAGAGGAGGGAAAACAGTCGACTTGTGGGATACCCATTAGAGAACACCGAGAAAGTGTATGTTCCAACGAAGAAATACGGAAGTAGGGCTTGAAATTATTGGTGAAAACTATCTTAACGCCAAGAATGCCTATCGCACAGATACATTTGCGACCATGCATCGGTCTTGGGAGTAAGAACGTGCCCCCCCGCTGGTCTAGATGTTTCCTATCACATCTTTTAATGACAACATCAGAGATAGATGTGTGAACAAGATAGATAGTAGGTGGTAGCTCTTGTGTAAATGCTTATGAACATGGTTATTGGCCATCTGTTTGATCGGTGAACACTCAGGGTTGCGCAGAGCCAGCAAATGCCCAACTATTTGCTCATGCATCCTTTGCCGGAGCCCTATTCCCCTCCTTCAGTCCCTGTACACCCGGCTTTGTTTTCCCTCGACAATCAGAACTACCACAAAACTGTTTGCCACAACTAGTCTAAAAGATTTAGCCACACAGAAAAGTTATCAGCGTTAATTTTGTTTGTTCAGGTTTTACAAAAGCAAACAAAATAGAGATAGGCAGAGGGTGGGAGAGGGAGGGAGGGAGAAAAATTAATTTATTACTTTCCATTGGAATGATAAAAGAAAACGCGCCTGTAGCGGGCTGCGGGCTGCGGAAAAACCGTGCGGCTCGTAAACAGATTTAGATTTAATCAAATGATAGCCCAGAGATCGGGATGGGCCCGAGAGATGTGTGGAGCGGAGCCCAGCGGCTGGATTTGGTAATGCACTCAATATATTTCAATGTGGCAGCTCGATTAAATATTCCAGGCCAGGAACGGAAACGGAAACAGAGACTGAAACTGAAACCTAAACAGAAACAGAAACAGTAGCGGCACAGAATAGGGCCCGAAATTCCTGGCCCGAACCGGAGGGGTCGAAATGTTTTGTGCGACAGGCATGAAACATGAGAAATGGCAACAGATTTAGCCACATGTCCTGCGGGGGAAGGGGACGGGGATGGGACGGGGACGGGGACGGGGGGTGTGCGAGAGTGTACGGGAAAATCGCTTTTAGCCATATAAACTATTATCGTCAGATTTTATATACATTTTTCCTTTTTCTTTCGGTTTTATTTTTTTTGGGTCACCCGCCGTCCGACAGGACATATTTTATTTCTCGCCCGTTTTCCGGGAAGATAATTCGGTTGCGTTGTGGCGGAAAATACCGGGGAGGAGGAGGAGGGGGAGAAGGGCCCCACAAAATATCGAAAATGTTACGCTTGAAAATTGCCTGTCAAATGACAAAAATGGTTTCATTTTCTGCCCTCCCTCCGACGCCCTTCGACGTGGCGACGCTCCATCTAATATCTAATATCTAATGGCTGTTGGTCATTTCTTTATGTCAGGGCTCGGAGCAGGCTCCCTTTTTTTTGGGGTGGGGGTCCCGCCAGCAGATTAGGTCCCCGCCTTTTGTGGGGCAGGTTGCGGTTGCGGGAAAGCCTTTTTACGTTATTCGGGGGACCCGTTTTTCGAACAATTTGTATGACCCAAGAAAAAGGTCAAATGAAGGAGAGAACGGAGAAAGTGTGCTGTAAAATATCATAAATGATATTCGATGGAACAAATTTGAAGGCATTTGTGTGCAAATGTGGCACTCGACATCCCCTGCACCGAATGCCGGAATTGTGTGCCTCGGGGTCTGGTCTGTGTGGAATTAATTTGGTTCTCTCGTTAAGAAGGAATTCAATTCCGACTCCCCAGCGGACTTCGGCGGGCCCTGTCTGCTGTCTGTTGTCTGCCATTCCATTCGATGTCCCGTCAGATATATTGGCAATTACAAACTGCTTAAAAGCAAATAAATCCCTGCCAGGCAATTGCATCGATGATGCCAAAGGATAACGAAGAGAAATACATCCGTACGAGTGCAGACACAGAGATACACAGATACACAGATACACAGAAACACAGATACAAATACATTTGCCGCTTCATTTAATGAAGGAAAGGCAGAGGAAGAGCAAGCAACATTTGTGCTCGTTATCGTTCAGTGGGGGGCTAGGGAGGTGAGGCAGTTGAGGAAGGGGAAGCAACCTGGACATAAAACTGTCAAAAGGTCGCCTATATAAATCGCTAAACTAAATGCCTTTCATAGTTTAATGCCACCTCGAGGGATTTCGAAGGAGTCTCCCTCGACACACAAAAACCCGCACAAAAGGGGAACCACAGAGAAAGACAGCGAGAGAGAGAGAGAGATCTATGGAATGGAATGGGGGTATGGGTATGGGTATGGGTATGGGTATGGTATGGGTGTGCAAGGGCCAGACAACGCGTCTCTCTATCACTATCATCCTCCATGCTCCAACAGCTACCAGGCCCATCCGCCCATCCACGCCTCCACCTCCAACTCCATCGCCATCCTCGTGTTGTCATTAAAACCGAATGAATTATGCAGTAGCCCAAGTGAACTACTTGCAGGACCAGACAGACCCCTTGCCGGATAGAACCGAACCAGTTCTTGTGGCAAGAGTGTCTTGGGACCTGGACTGCAGTTTGGACTGCAGTTTGTTTGTTGTTTTAATTAACTAATTAAGATTTTTCTATGTCGCAAGTCGCAAGTCGCATGTTGCTGCTTGCTGCTGCTGAAGGAAGGGGAGAACCCCCGAGTCCCGAGTCGGAGTCCCGAGTCGAAGTCCGTGGAATGTTTGCATTATTTGTTGCTGCCCAACAGTTGCTAAGGACCCAATTAACCTTTTATGGCCATTTGGCACAATAACGAGGCCAAGAGCGACGCGACAACGACAATGAGCAAATGTCCACAAAACGAAAAGAAAAGCAACACAGAAATGTCGAACTTTGTCGCTACGAAGCCTTAGATACCCTGGAAAATTGATCTATAAGATATAGATTCGAGATATTCGATTCCATTTCCAAAGTTTACAAAGAAAAACCAAGAAAGTTTTCATTCCAAAAGACTTGTCTTTCAACTGATTGTGACTGTGTCTTTCCTGACACAATTTGGGGCTAGGTGCAGGAAAAGCCATGAATCTGAGAGGATATTCGACCCTTGAATACCCTCGAAAGGGTATCCCAGAAAGAGGGGACACCAGTCGAGACAATGAAACCCCCATCTCGTTGGACCTTTGCTCGGACGCAGTAAGCAGCTTGTGCAAAAGTGCACAAGTAGCCCCCAGTTCGGGGGCCTGATTCAGTGAAATTGGTGGCCATATTTGGCAGGACACAAACAAAAAAAAAAGCAGAGCACTAAAAGACAAAACAATGGACATCATAAATTCCGACTACAAATTGACATTAAAAATTTGTTTGTTTCGCTTCGTTTCGTATGGTTTTCGTAGACGGGTAAGGGGAACTTACCCCGCGGACTTAAGCGGGGACTCACCTCCACATGGACTTCTATTCTTCCCGAATTTCCTTCAAAGGAAAACCCTGCGTTTCGAAGCGTGACCGAAGGCTGCAATGGAGAATGGAAAATGGAAGGCGAATGTTATTTCAAGCGATACGTTGTATCAACAGATAGCACATAGATTATGGAATAAATATATAATAGTTTCATGCATTTAATTATTTTTCTGTAAGCGACATACTAATTTATGGCACTTGCTCCATATGGCTCTTCCGCATTTCCGCTTGGGAAATGCCACATGGGAAAACTTTCCATAGCAACAGCAACGGCAAAACTTTCTCATTCTCAGTTGTGTTTTTTGGGGATTTACGAATTATGCAAAATATGAAATGAAATTCCGGTTTATTCCAAATTAAAGCACACTTTGAAAGGCGCTTCCGATTGTTTAGCACATCGTTTATGTTTAATGCGATTATTTATGGTTTATGATTTAAATTTATTAGCTGTGGGAGTGTCAGGTCGGTGAGGCTTTTTCCCAATAGTTTCATACCAATGTTTTGGTATTTAATACAAATTCCTTTCTCACAAACTCCCCATTCCCTTCATACAGCTCCACGATGTAACGTGTCGGGGTCACCAGCTATCCGTAAACATTCTAGATCCCCTCTTTCATCGCTAAGCAACAATGTTTTGGCACTTGAAAGTAAAGCAGATTCATTTCCTCACGATCCTTGCCACATCCAATTAACTAATAATGAAGATGTCGGGGCACCAATCGCCATTACCTGCCAAGGATATTCTTAAACATTCCATATACCCCTCTTTCAACGCTAATAAACTATGGTTCGCCAAGTAAAAGCTCTGACAGATTCCTTCAACATTGCTCTTAAGCGTAATTAACTTGTCGGGGTCACCAATTTGCATTTAGTGTACCCTTCAACATGATATACCCCTGTATACCCCCCTTCTTGAACGCTAATCAACAAGGTTTTAGCAGACAAAAGCTCTGGTAGATTCCTTCCTATGGTTTTCCCCTGCGCTTACAAGATTCCTCAACGTTTTGCAAACATTTTGTGGGTCGCCAACAGCAACGCAGGGCCAGTCAATATGGTATAGTGTCCCATTGGGGGGAGTCATTCTCTCCCCTTGGCACTTTACTGGCTCCTCGCTTTCTCTTGGGTTCAGTTCAAGCGCCCACATAGTTGTATTATCGCATTTTTTTCCTGCTTTTTGCCATTTTCCTCTGCTCTCAGCTGTCGGCTGTCGGCTGTCGGCTGCCCTCTGCCCCCGAAACACCACGCTCTGAATGGAACCGGTTAGGTGTTGTTGGCTGGCGATATGCAACGATACTTCAAGGTACCACGAGGACAGGTAGTGACGGACGTACTATCAGAGACCTCCAATCGCATGACGTAGCACTGTTGGTTGGGTGTTGGTCTCTCTGGGTGACACCCATCTGGGCCACACATCTCCGGGGACTAATTGAAATGGCAACACTAATTAGCGATGCTCCCAGGTGCTGCAACGGACACTGTAAAGAGTATGCAAAACCCGATAACACACTCAAACGAGATAGAGAGGGAGCTGGAAAACAAAGCACAGTAGCGACAGAGATCCACTTTGAGCTACAGAACATTCTTAGAGCATGGACCGGAGACCGGAGACCAGAGACCAGAGACCACCCGCCCAGTCCAGAGGCCACGCATCGATGGGAGTTCATTAAAGTAAATGGTCTTCCATAAACCTTAAGCCGATTACCAGAACGATCCCCCATTTCGGCCTAAAGGCTCTTCCACGTTTGTTCGCCCTCAAATTAATGGCGTAAATTATTAGCTAATGATCGAAACACTCTTGACGATTGGTCACTGGAGAGCGGACAGTGGACAGTGGAGAGGGGAGAGCAATCGCCTCGAGAATGGGTTACGTCATGGAGTTATCTTCGTGCGATGCTCCATGTTCAGGCGCAAGTTGCGGCTTAGTTGGGGCTGTGTTGGGGCTAAGTTGGCGCTGAGTTGGGTTTCATTTTGTGTGCAATTGTTCAATGTTTATATGGTTTTTTGCGTTCTGTCTGTCCCTCATCATAATCATCGATGAGCGAAGGTCGCACACGCGATGCCCCTCTTTTTCTTTCCACTCGTACGCTAGTACGAGTATTAGCCAAAGTCGTAGATACTTCATTTACATAGCGGGGAAACCAGTTATCATCCACAGGCAAGTCGTCACCTGTGGCCCAGAGTTGGGCCTTCAGGCCTGGAACTGTGGCTTAGATGTCGAAACGTGCCTTTCCCCCTGATTTTCTCCCTTTTTTCCTTTGAAATTTAATTACAAAACAATAAAATTTCAGCCAGGAATGAAGAAGAGATACTCGTAAAATGCCAGGCAATCGTTTCGGCTAGGTTCGTTTTCGTTTTGCTTCGTGCCAGTTGATTTCGCGTAAGAAAAATTCGAGTTATTTGCGGAACTACCAAGAGGAGGAATATCTTCTGTCGTGTTGGACAAAGGACAAGGAATCGATGTCCGTTGTCCGTTGTCTGTCGACTGCCGATTGTTGACTGTAGTCGTGTGTCAGCAGCATCCGGGGAATGCAAACTGCAACGTTCCAGGAGGAGCAGCAGCAGAGGCAGCAGAAGACCATGCCACAGTGAGTGCAGTGCCTCGTAAAGAGGCCAGAAATTGCAGAATCATGCAATTTGTGGGCACTTCGAATGCAATCAACAAAACTGTTTGATTTATGATCATTTGCAGTTTGCACTAATTTTTCAAATCACAAAAGGCACCACAGCGGCAGAGGGGCAGGGGGGCGGGCAGCCCAAACCTGACTCGACACAAAAATTAATCACCCAACCGAATGGGGAGGAGACCAGGCTGAAAAGATAGACCAGAAACCCAGTCTAGGCTGAAAAGATACAAAAGACTGTAAGGGAAACGGACTGACGGACAGACGGACAGAGAGACGGACTGGGTAGTTGGAAGGCAGCCATGAAGGATGGGGCCCAAGGAGTCATTACAATCAATAACTGAAATCGATTTTAGGCCTCGAAAGCCCCAGCCTTTCAGTAGCTAACAGTAGATATGGCCGCGTGACACGATAAATGGCCGCAATGGTCACAGATCGAGTACCGTGATCGTCTCCCGTCCATCCTTCATCGAAAGGGAGACTGGACTGTGGCACACAACTTGTAATTATGCGCTTGGCTGGCTGCCCCAGAGGAGCCCGTCCTGGGCAGACCCTTTTTTGCATTATGATAAACGAGCCCTAGACCGGAGTCCCATCCATCCATCCATCCATCCGTCCATGCACCCATCCATTCATCCATCCATCCATCCCTCCCTCTTCCTGTCTCGAGCGATCACTCTTTACAACATCTTCATTATGAATTATGCGAATTTCTCAGTGATTCCAGCATTCTCAAGAGGGGTTCCCATGGGTTGCCATAACTTTTGTTTTATCACTCGTAACGAGGAGGCAAGGACAGGGCAACCGGCACTCCAACGAGTGCTTATCTTTACCTCTCCCTCTCTCTATATCTCGATGCGAGAAAGAGAGTAAACTTTGGCCAACATGTTGCAACTAATTACATAAAGCGACACGTGCGATGCGACGCGACGCGACGCGTCGTTGTAATTTTATTTGTTACAACTCGAAATTAGCATGAATTTGCTAATTAGCTCTGATTGTAAAAGTTGCAGGCGAGACCAGGCCCAAACCCAGGCCCAGTCCCAGTTGCTGCACTGCTGCACTGTATGCTCCCTCCCTGTATCTGTATCTGTATCTGTATCTCTTTAGCGTGGCTCTGTGTGTGGGTTGTGGGCCAGGCCGGAGATACTTTGCGTATCTCTGCCCACAGCACACAGCACACAGCAGAGACGGAGCTCTGGAGTCGTACTGGTATCTAAAACACGCTTTGAGGAGAGCGTGGATTGCAACACACTCGCACTCCGACTCGCACTCGCACACTCGCGTCTCGTGGTTGGGCAGGGGAGAGAATCGATGTCGCGTTGGACAAGCGATTAAGATCAGTTTTCTGAAAGGAAACACACCATAAAAACACCGCCTAAATGTCACATTATATCCATACTATCCATAAGCACTGCTCTTGGACTTTCGAGTCGATTCTCGAAAACACACTCCCAGAGCCCAAAAAACTGATTAATATTTCAGGGCTATCAATCCACTTAAAACTGATATAAGTGTCGGATCAATCAGGGGCCGACTGACTGCTTCAATTGCTCCGAATTCCACGAAACCAAAAGTCGATAGCAGGTGGGTGCCCTCGATAGCCAAAGGGGAACGGAACCGAAACACACAAGACCAATAAGAGGGGACATATCTGATGGACTGATAGGCCACGTGAATATCGAATGAATATTCCAGACTTAATTGCGAATGCATTTCATTTACAGACATTTCAGATAACAAACAACCGGGCACAAAGAGCGGCAGTGAGACGATATTGCACTCCTCTGAAAGCATTGTTCGCATTTTGTTCAACAAATATTGAACCAATCGTTGCTAAAAATACTACGTACTGTACATTTATTGTACGGCCAACTGCTGTGTAAAGTACATTCTGTTGCTGCTTCTGTTGCTGTTGCTGCCCCAGCATGATTCGTAGCTATCCGAAATTTGATGAAAAATAATTGAATTCCCTACGAATTGAATTCCATTTCCATATCCGAGGTAAACAAAAAAAAACACCGCTCTATAAAATTTAGGGCGAAAGGCGTACGGTACAGAGTAGCGAGTAATTCCAAACAAAAATAAGCATTTATTGTACTTATTCGTTCGTTCGTTCATTCGTCCACTCATTCATTCACTGATGATATCAACATGGCAAAAACTAAAAATAAACAATCGAAACAGCGCACACAATCACCATCATAATCTTTGGGGCACCTCCAATGACAGTGAAAGTGACTCGATGACGATGGTGGATCTACCATGATGCGACACGATGATGGCAACAGACAAAAAGCTGAACAAAAGTCACGGCTACCACCAGCACTGGCTCCCCCTCCCCTCCCTCTCCCACTGCCCAGCCAGAGGGTCTTCACTTTACATAACTTCCATCAAAGCACACAAAAAATTAGCAAGTTCATAGGAAAAA